ATACATCTACACCCATACAGATGTACATATAACATTATTTGAAAGGTTTTGGGGTCCATGAACAGCCCTATGAACACCCCAGGGGGCCTAAACCAACTTAACTTACACTTGGGCTGGCCCAGCTAGGCACCCACATCAACTTTGTTGTATACTGATGCTAGGGAACCTGGATCGCATGTCACTCAAGACCTCGATCCCTAATAGGAAGGATTGATATTCCAAAATTTAAGAATCAAAGAGGAGTGCGATCCCCTTCCCCTTAGTCCAAGATTGGGAATCTAGAGCGGAATCAACCCCTTGGTCGTGGACCTAGGGAACAAACATCGAGTGAAACTTTATGCCCTTGGCAAGGGGATTGCATCAAAACTTAACTTATTCAACATTTCAGAAATGGTGCCAGAAGCATGCGAACCTCTTAACAGTAAAAAGTAACTCAACTTTTCGTTTGTAAATATATCAAATAAGGTGAGAGATGCCTCTATACCAAAGTCCTGTTCCACCCTAGATTGTCCATTTTTTCAACCAACGGATAAACAAGTACGCTCATTGGCATTCTAAAATCCAGAAATGCAAGATTATAATAACAAACTGTACTCTTTCGTGTTTGTAAATCTGAATAATAATTTCCAATAAAACTAATAGGATAAGTTAGCCTGAGGGATACAGGCACTAGGTGTTGATATTTGCAACACTGCATCCAAGGTTTGAATCCCACTGCTGACCAATCCAGAATAAAAACAATCACTTGTTCTGGTGCTGGAAATCCCAGACAAAGGCTAAATGAAATATTGTAAAAGATTGAAAAGAAATTATCTGGTTCAGCCTGCCAAATCACTTTATCACTATACAGAATTCCTTTTTTATATAGTTTACATAATCTCCAAGCATATAATAAACTCCCTATAAGAACCACGCACATTTTTGTAAACCTTAAATTCAGTCCAATTATCTGACTAATGAAAGAAAGATGAAAAGAATATCAGAAATATACCTAATAAAAGCCTTCATATTGTTGTAAATTGAGCGGCCTTCACCAACGGCAGCAACTATTGTACTGAAGTTGTCATCAGCTAACACCATGTCAGAAGCCTCTTTTGCAACCTGGAGGTGGAAGGCATAGCAATAAGGGCCAAACAATGAAATGCAAATATACAAAGAATAATACTGCAGAACACTGACACTGATCATTTAGTGTATCATTTAAGCTTCCAAGAAACATCAAACAAAGTTTAGGAAGGGTTAAAGATGAGACTCTCACGACAGGTGACATGAAATACAAGTCAGGAAGACAAAGTTCCAAGTAGCAAACAACAAAACTGCCTGAAGATGATATTCATAACAGAAAAGTGTTTATGTGAGGAAATATATGACACATCCCAAAGAGGTTAATGCAGCTATCCAATATTAACAGAGAAATATGAATTGCAATTTTGTACCAAAAAGGTTCCAAAAAATACATAGAAAGGGACTGCAATTTTGTATTTACGACAGTTGACCTTGTTCAACGGGTCAAGTTGAACACATAAGAAGAGGAAAACAACAATGGAGATATTATGGCTATAATCGAATTCTGAAAGCACCAATGGTAAAAAAACTCCGGTTCAGCCACCAAAGCAGTGGGACAGGAGCCTAGATTCCTAGGCAGCCCCTCTTGGCAGTCTATTCTAAAAGATTGCAAAGGCTATCCAAACAAACTCTCTCTAAGTAAAAGCTCTCCCCCTGTCTCTCCTCCTCTTTTGGTCACCGTGAAAAAATAAAACTTCGCCCTATAGATTCTGTTCTACTTTTAGAGTGGGAAAGGCCACTGAGCCTTGATCACCTCAAAAAGACAGTTTCGCCCCAAATATTATTTTCTAGTAATTGAGTTTATCAAGACATTTAGAGATAGCAACATATTAATGGTGGGTACAGAGCACATGCATACGTTCTTAAATTGAAAGAGAGGACGGTTTCTGTGATTCTCAATAGTTGTATTATTCTGACAGCAACAGAACTCGGAAGAACATACACTCCACTCTGCCTTTTCCCTCTCCTCTCTCTGCCCACCCTCTCTTCTGTCTCTACCAACGAGAGATAACAATGAGCCCTTTTCTCGAAAACAACAGAAATGAGAGAGGGAGACCGAATACAATGAAGACAAAAGAGGCTCAAATTTATTATTCGAAAGGAAAGAAAATATTTACCACTTTTCCCCCTCTTGTGCTTCTCTCACACTATTTAAAACTAAGAAAAACAAAAACTTTGGATCTCTATTTGACACCTATCACATGCAATTTTTGGCTCTCTCTCTCTCTCTCTCTCTCTCGCCGAATATGACATGTCATTTCTCCACAGCAATACTCTTATACCTGTCCTCTCGTCCTTTGTTGCCATCAATATTGAAGGTTTTTGACCCCTCAATATTCTTTAATATCATACATGTGTCTTCTATCTCTATCTCTCTCTCAATGTTCAAGAAAATGGAAACGGGTGCCTGGGCCGGAACTGCAGAAAAGGAGGAGGAAGAGGAAGAAGAGGGGGGCAGGGGGTGAAGGGGCTTAGGGGTTTCATGAATTCAGAATTTTATATTATGTATATATTACAAATTTAGCCAAATAAAGCCAAACATAGTCGAATATATGTGTTACTATATTATTTTGCATTTTGAATTATACATAAGAGTAATATCTTCAAACACAGCCATAATTATCGCCAAACGTAGCCATAAATAATAGTTAACCGTTCTAAAAAAACATAGCCATAAATATCTTACAATCATAAAAAATTAACAAATTAAGCAGAAAAAAAAAAAAAGCCACTTGTGAAGAAGTTTCTTCGTAAATGTGAAAAAAGTATAACTTAACACAATACTCACAATAAATACGAAACGTAAACATAAAAAAATTGAATTTACTAACCTTTCAAAAAACCAATAGAAGTAGGCTTGAATTAAACACTTTTAGTTGCCAAAAGCTCTATTTTGGAACCTCTTTAGTCCCTAAAAAGTTTCCAATGGAATGCCTTTCGATTCTCCAAGAAATCAAAAACCCGCAAGCAATCGAAAACTACAAACTCGGTTGCAATCCTTAAAAGATTTTGTTTTTTAACCAAAAAAAAAAATTTTGGGCAAATAGGGTCGTTTTTTTGGGGGGTCCGAAATGCCCTCCACATACGATTTTGAAGGATATTTTTGCCCTTTTGAAGAGGCCCATTGGGCCGCGCCAAAAGGGCTACGGGTGCGGTGCCCAAGTGGTGCCCTGGGCGACTAGTTGGCCGACCAAGGCCATCAACGCACACCAGGCCGAATAGTCACAATGTATGACGGTGAGGCCATACTGCCACCTGGGTGGCCGACTTTTGGAGCCTCTCTCTCTCTCTCTCTCTCTTATACACACACATACACAATTGATTCTCCATAAGTTTCATGATGAAGAGGTTTGGTATTGTGAACCAAGATCAGTGCCTTTGTATGTTCCACCCAATCTAGTAGTAAACAAGGAGACGCTTTTATTCCTTTTGAGTCCTTTTTTTCTGTTTTATCTCTCTAGTTAGGGTTGAGAATTTTTCAGATCAGGTCCTGATCCACCTAGGTCCGGATCTGGATCTGGATCCGGATCCAAAAAGTATACATGGAATCCATATCCAGATCCAGATCAAATCTAGAATTTTCTGATCATGATCCATCCAAATCTGAAAACTATACATGGGATCCAGATTGGATCCTGATCCAAACACTATATGTGGGATCCGGATTAGGTCTTATAAAGTTTACAAATTATATATATTATATATAAATTAATAAATATACAACTACATACTATTTTAAAAATTGGGTCCAATCCGTATCGGATCGACCTGTACCCAGATCCAATCTGAATTACTATTTAGATCTAAATTTTGGATCCAAAACCAAATTTTGGATCCAAATCTTGGATCCATACTAGGATCCAAATAGGATCCGAAATTCAGGTTTTGGATCCGGATCAAGTAAATTCCCAGCCCTATCTCTGGTTAAGAGATTTGGCTAATATTTCCCATGCTAAACCATAGAAGGTTTCTTTTGTTCTCCATTTTATCTATGTCATGTTAAAAATAGAAAAGATGTCATTGATGTGATGAAAGAGAGGGACAACTAGAGTAAATACATAAACAAAATCTGACGAAACCAATGAAATACCAGCCCGCCTGGGCGAGCTAGGTACCCGCCTTTGGCAAAAGGTGAGCACCTTGGGTTTGGGCTGCTTGGGATGCATCACCGCGATGGGGTAGGCGGGAACTCAAGGACATCACCCACCTAGAGCGGGCAAATTTGTCAACACTGATAAGCACTATTCTCCTACTAGAGAGTCTTTATATCTTATCATCAAATAGAATATTGGATCGTGTCAGCAAGAGATCAACACTAAACTAAGGGAAAAAATCATTCATGTTAGAACCAGTAGAACATACCTCGGTACCCGTTATGCCCATGGCAATACCAATATCAGCTAACTTCAGAGCAGGGGCATCATTCACACCATCACCAGTCATTGCAACCACCTCACCATCCGCTTTTAGCAATCTAACTATCTCTTGCTTATGCTTTGGTTCAGCCCTAGAGAAAAGAAGGCCACCTGTTTGTCTCAAAATCTCTAGACGATTGGCATCAGGAAGAGACATAAACTCCCTTCCCGTAAAGCTCTTGCCAGCAATGTCTTCATGAGATCCAAAAATCCCAATTTCATGGCAGATAGCTTCTGCTGTATTCTTATTATCTCCTGTGATAACCATTACTCGAATACCAGCTGCTCTGCAATCCTCAATAGCTTTATGGACTTCTGGCCGTGGTGGATCCTACAATGATTTTAAATTATGAGAACACGAACAACCAATTCATTGAACATAAATTAATACAAATTCACCACAAAATGACCAGCAAAATATGTAGTAGCAATTGTGCAAAATTCAGTTCAGATGAGGAAATTCAATTCAAATTTACCCCACAACAACCAGATTTCAAGCACTAGTTAGTTTACATACCTCAGTAATGAATAATATAAAGATAAATGATAAGATAAATATTTGATGACATATCATCATAAAATAAAATTCAGTTGAACATAGCTCAGCACATTCTCACCCTGAGCCCAACCAAACCAACAAATATGAGATCACTTTCAATGCTCGGATAATTTAAGGGATCAAGCAGGAGCTTATGAGCTGGATGCTCTTCTCCATCATAATCTGAGAATTCAGAAAGAGCCTCCTTATATGCGAAGCCTAGGCATCTTAATGCAGTAGATGACATATTCTGAAGAGTTTGCAGTAGAAGCGTTCTTGAATTCTCATCCAAACTCACAATCGAACCGTCTTGTAACTGAATAGAAGAACTTCTCTCCAAGAGATTTTCTACCGCACCCTGCCACAAATAAACAATTTTTTTTCTTTTTTGATAAGTAACACTGTATTAAGAATTGGATAAGATACAAAAAATAAGAAGAATGCAAACACAAATAAAATTTTCAGACATTTAGAGAGCATATACCTACAATAAGAAACAAAATGGATATATAGTATTGCATGGAGCTGCCAGTGAACTGCAAAACTTGGTCAAAAGCAAAATATGTGCCAACTTAATGGAATTCGACAATTCAAATATGAAGGGATGTTAGATGGAAGAAGACATATGCAACAGAGGGGAACCCATATCACTCAGCAGAAATACAGGAACATGCAGTCATGAAACTCTCAAAATTAAGCAACCAAACTGCACTTTCATTTGCAACACAGCAGCAGTTCCAATGACCATTTTATTAAAAGTCAAAAGTGGCAGTGCAATGACATGACTGCCAAATATCCAGGTAACAAATTAACGCCAGAGAGAGAAACAGAACGCAATAAATTCAATGTAGTTATCACAGAACAAGATTAGACAGCTTACTTGATTCAAGCCCTTCTATTTCTATCACGTGCCTTCTTGAAATCAATCGTTCAGAATGATACAAAGGTAAAAACTACACTAGTGTGATCCATTCACTACACAACAGAGGATCAAAAGGTCCTTTGCATCTTTTTAAGTCCATTTTATTAGAAGCGAGAAGATATCTAGATTCAGGGTACGAGAGGTGCCCAGCAAGTGATTTCCATATATAAACTAAATGATCAAGAATGCAGCAGGTAAAAACTGGCAGTAAGTAAGAACAGACAAATTTATCTGAAGCAAAAGATAAATGACAAAAGAAAGCCCACAACCCAAGTAGGGCTATCATATATCTTCACACTTGTGGAAAGGAAAACAAAAGGAAATGGGGATAAGCAAAACACAAATGACAATAAATTAATCCCGAACTGAATGGCTTCAGCCCAACTTTCAATTCCAGTCAAATTCAAGACGACTAGAAGCACTCTTTCTCTAATAGAATTATCACATGTCCTGATCAACACCAGCATGGTTTCTTTCCTTACCGCTTCTACAAGGCATAGAAACTCATGAAAAAATGAGAGTTGCTTACCAACAGTTTGGGTCTTATCTTCAAAATGTGCTTCAACGCCAACGTGCATAATCCAACTTTGTGCAGCACTTATCCACACAGGCAAATAGCACACCTAAGACTACAATGGGTTTATCTCCTTAGAGTACTAGAGACTCTTCCCAAGCTTGGTTTTGGACGAAGTAAAACAAATTCAAAAGGTCAAGCCATTTAACATCCAATGCCATCCTCGTGTTTCCATGTTGCTAAAAAACTTTCAGACGCACAATCACAAAAGATTCAAGTTTTTCTTTTTCGAGAGAATAACAAAGAAGATTCAATCATAGCTACCAGGGATTCGGACCGGGACTGGTTCTGGGATTGGACAGGGAGCGGATTGTGGAAGGTTTACATCCATCTATAATATTATGATTAGAAAATAAAACATTTATTAAAGAGTATATGTTATAACAAAAAAAATAAAACATTATTATTAATTCACTATCATTCAATAATATTATGACGAGCCACAGATTGATGAAGCTGTAGCATTATGATGTAGTTTTGTATAAGTTGCAGTTAATAAAGCGGGAGGGGTTTCCACCCCTTTTCTTCATTCCAAAGTTATGAGCCTTAAGGAGTGTGTTGCATTTCAAACTTAATTGAGTTTATAGCTTGATATTTGCCCATTCTAGCAATTGGGCATATTAGATTTAAGAAAAGAACATATAATTCAATGAATTTGAGAAAATGAAGATCTCGGCCTAGGTTCATCCAATTTTGAAACAATTGATTTCTTGCAATGGATGGTCGATCTTCAATGAAATTCGATCCCCAATCATTGGCTTGTTTTTCACCCAAAAACACACACATGCACACACACACACACACACACACACACACACACACACACACACACACACACACACACACGCACGCACACAAGACGAAAGATTTGAGACCCTAAATTTGGATTTAATACTCATCTGATTTTTTCAAGAGCAGCAATCCCATAGATCCAAACTCACAACGCAAAGTTGGTTTGGGGTTTTGAGTTGCACGTATGAGGAAGCATTGACAAGGATTGGAGGCATCAATTCTTACCGATCATGAGAATTTGGGGTAGGGTAAATTTCAGTTTTCCATTCAGTTTTAAAATTGATTATAATGAATATGCTATTTAATTTTTCAATTCTGTAGATACATCATTCGTTGTTACTTCAATTCTTCATATTATATGAAATCTTTCAGCAAAGAACATCAAATTTTTTTCACTTTCGATCTTTTACATACCTTTTATACTGCTTGCCATTTTTTTTGTTTCTACTTTTGTCTGATTTAGATGTTTTTAGAATTATTCTTTATTTTTTCACATTTTTTTAGGCTTCTTTTAGGCCCCCGTCCATGGCTCGGGCGGGATTAGGATGTGTCCACTAAGACTCACCCAAGGTACTCAACCAAGTATCTTTCCTGAGCAGTGGAATTTTAAGGCCCAAGTACCTCATAGACAAGTACTGTGAGGGAGACAGCAAACTCTTCTTTTTCTTTTAGAGAAGTCAATTATGCTAAAACATGAAATAAAAAAGCTAAAAGAGTATTTAATGTATGAGGATCATGCCCTTGCCAACCTCAATATTCTTATTCAGGTGGTTGAAGAATTATGTAGTTAAAGTTACAGAGATATGACCACCCCAATATGCATGGAGATTTGACACATATCTTTATGGTCTCAAAGAAACAAACTAAATATGGAGCAACGAAACCATAAGCAAACATTAACGTACTCTTAACTCAAAACACTCAAAGGAAAACGGAATAGCTCCAGCCTGATATATGTACTGGCTGCCCCTAGCCATGAAATACACTCATAATCATAAAGCAATAAAAGCCTATTAACAGTTCTTTTTTTATTGTAGAAAAACTATTAAAATTGCTTAAGACTAACAAAATTATTATATGAAGATACTTGTTGATCGACAACATGAAAATTTCAAAGTAATAGTTGCTCATACACGTACCTTCACTAGTAAAGAATTTCTTCCGGAGGCAGACTTCACAATGACTCCCATGGATTTTCTCATGCGATCAAACTCAAGTGTTGCAACCCTGTGCTCGGTTTCGCTCCACTGTTGGCAGCATTCTTATATGAAAGAACATAAGCAGCATATAAGGCACATTAATGTTTTCAATAAAATAGTCATCATTGGGAAAGAGAACAGGAAAGTAAGTTAAATTTAACACTTAATGTGTCAGTTACCTAAAATAACCTCAGTTGTCTCTGAAATGGAATTATTTCTCACATATCGAACTTCACCAGGAGGCCCCATTTTCTCAACTAACACCTTACACAATGGAATGACAAAAGGTTCAGATAGCATGTGTGAGAGACAAGCATTTACAATAATATCTTTCCCATCTCAAAACTTCAGCAGATAAAAGTAAAAATGACCTGGAAGTTTAAGTGATTGGTACTTGTAAGATAACCACAGAAGAAGACTCAAATCATTTTCAGGTCAATGAGTACTATGCCTCTTTATCCTCCAAACTCTTGCCATTTCATATTTTCAAGAGATTTTAGAGTACTCAGGATTTTTGTTCGTTGGGTATTTCTAAAACTTAAAATAAAACAATACCTAACATTTTCAGTTAACCTAAATAATGCTTCCCTTTTACATTAAAATTCTCTAAGAACTTAGCATGAGCAATGGTTAAAATGGAAACAAAGACACCAAACTCACTTACCTTCAAAGCAGCCTCAGTAGGCATGCCATTAGCGCAATATTGATGTCCTGCATAAGCAACACCAGCATCATTGCACACAGCAGCAATTTTCGAAATCATTTGCAAATTGGCATCCATGGGACCCTTAGGCCAATCATATATCACCCCATCACATGGGTCATACGTCGTCCCCTCCACCCTAAACTCCCTCAATGATCCCGACCTGTACCCCATGGCCACAAGCTTCGCAACTGACATTTGGTTCGTGGTAAGCGTCCCAGTTTTGTCTGAGCAAATAACAGTCGTACACCCTAGCGTCTCCACACTCGGCAGCTTCCTCACCAGTGCATTCTTTTGCGCCATCTTCCTCGTCCCCAGAGCCAAGCAAGTAGTGATCACCGCAGGCAGCCCCTCGGGTATCGCTGCCACTGCCAAAGCCACCGCAATCTCGAAGTAATATGTGCACTTCTCAAACGAGAACTTGAAATTCCTTGGCCAGCCATCTACCAGCTCAAATGTGAAGAAGTACTTCACATTGATAAGCCAAACCAAAACGCAAATGATCCCAATCAGCATTGTGAGTGTCTCCCCAAACTCGTTGAGCTTCTTCTTCAGGGGCGTGTCAGTTTCACTCTGTGAAGCTTCGTGGATTTGGGAGTGGACCTTTCCTATCTCCGTGTGCATGCCAGTCTGGGTCACAAGGCAGATGCAGTGGCCATTGACAACAGTTGTGCCCGCAAAGACCATGCACTCCTTTCCCTGAATATCGGTGTCCTCGTGCTCGACCTTGCGGTGGGTCTTGTTCACCGCCACACTCTCACCAGTGAGAGACCCCTGCTCAACACGCACTGTTGGTGACACCAGCCGCAAAACCCGCATGTCAGCAGGCACCTTATCTCCAGCCCTCAACTCAACGATATCCCCAGGGACAAGCTCACGAGCAGGGAGGTTAGAAATCACTTGATGGTCTCTAATTACAGTAGCATGATCAGATTGGATCTCTTTGAGGGCCTCAAGGGCCTTCTCGGCGTTGCTCTCCTGCCACACCCCAACGATGGCATTTACAATGAGAATGAGGAAGATGACGAGAGGCTCAACGAAGGCGGTGATGCTGGTCTCCCCTCCCTCATCACCATCATACCATGCCAGGACAAAGGAGATGACCGCTGCAACAAGGAGGATGCGGACCAGAGTATCATTAAACTGGTCAAGGATGAGGGACCACACCGAAGGCCCTGCATGACGCTCGAGCTCATTGGGGCCATGTTTGTCAAGGCGAGTATGGGCCTCAATGGAGGTGAGCCCGATACAGCTGTCAACCTTGAAGAAGGCCTCACACTCCTGCTGGTCGCGCGCCCAAGCCAGGAACACTGGTGGCTGAGAACCATGAGGAGAAGGGCTCTGCTTGCCCTCATCCTGACCACCTTTACCCATGGTTAGGAAACCTAGAATTTGGGAACAGACAATCACAGAGAAAGCACAGACCAGGAATAGCTTGATTCTTAGGAGCGAAGGAATCTCATTGCTTGGTGAGAAAAACAACCATAAAGAGAGAGAATTTTATCAAAAACCTTTCAAACAAACTTCAGAAACAAGAGATGATTTGCAGTGTAAGGGATCAAACTCAGACTAAGAGAAGCACCGCAAGTCATGAACTTTCAGTAAAATAAACTAACTAGGAGCAGAGTATAACTAGCCCTAAAACAAGTAATGGATTTGCAGATGAATAGATCTGACTGATTGTAGAAAACGAAAACCAGTAGATGCAGATCCAAGTGATAATCCCAGTGTTTGATTGATTCTTGGGAAGAAACAAATCTCCCAACCCTAAGGAATTATCCTTCCTGCGCAAGATCCACGAAAAAACCAGAGGAAGCACCACCTACAGTTCTCAAGGGAAGCTCGTTCCTCTTGCTTTTTCCTTCGCTCTCTCTCTCTATCTGCTTTAACCCGCTCTCCCTAAAACCTTGGCGTGAGCGCCAAAGCCTCTCACCCTTTAGTTCTTTTAGGCAAAGCTTCCGCCTACCTTTTACTTTCTCTCTTGCTTTTTACCGTTTATCGTAACTCTCTAATCTCTCTCTACGGAAGCCACGTCGAACGAGACTTCTGGACCGTCCAAAAGCGCCCAGCTACCCACCAAGGAATCGGAAGCGTACAGTTATAGGAATATACGGAATTTAAAAAGGAAAAACTTTATATACAGCCGAGGCTCTAAACAATCAAATTAGAACCGACCTCAAAAATCTCATTGGAACCGGTTGTTTTGATGCCCAAATATCTTCAAATTGACCATCTAGACATCAAGGTGTATGGACATGAGGAAAAAAGGGATTTCAAGTTTTGGCAATAGTGTATCTTGAAATGTATTTTGTTAACATCAATTTTCAAGTTTTTTTAGATCCGCTCGATTGACATTATTTTTCAAGATTTAAATTTTATAATTAAAGATAAAAATATATTTTAAAACTATCATGAAGATTTTCAGTATTGAAACTACAATTTTCGATACTACTTGAAGGTATGTTGTACGTTGATTGTTTAGAACCTCGTCTCTATACAAACCGCAACCTATTTAAAATAAAGGTTCAACTATTGGCTGCTTTCGATCCAATTATTGATGGCTTGGATCGCACGTATGGAAAATTCCAAGCCGCATCTCAGTAGCCAATGCGGTAACACGATTTGGATCGCCGTTGGAATCGGCAGTCACTTCTTGGGGATTGGCCAAATGAACTCGTTTTGCCGAAAGGAATCGGTTTGAATCGGCAACGATGATGAACGAGTTCGACTATTTATCTTTAATACAAGGTGGTCACAATTAATCTTACTTATTAAATGTGAAATTGGGTCCAAAACCAAACTTAAATTTTAAAATAAATTTTCTGAACACACCCAAACTATCAAATTCCACATCGGGTGATTGTAAATAATTGTGAGATCCCTATACCAAAAGCAAATAGTATCATTGTATACAATCTTTTATTCATTTTGGTTTTAAAAATCTTAGATTGATTAATCTGAACTCATAAATCTCCTCTTAATTTTTTTATTATCTTGGTAGGGCCTTCCCCAACTAGCTCACCTAAAGAAAAACTCCACTGATCCAAACATTATTTTTAGATGCATGATTAAACAATGGACATGAATAGGGTAGAACCATGTCTTGAAAACTCTTGAAAGTACATATTAAGAAAAAGTTTAATGCATATATCATGTTTCCAGCATCATGTACATTTATTCCACCCCCATAGATTTTTTTTTTAATATGAAATTTTGGCAACCACCTAATAATTATTAAGTGATCTCCCCATTTAGATCATCCATTTTCAAGATTTTCATATATTTATAGATCTACTTGATTTTAACTATTTTTGGAGTTTAAAATTTTATAATTAGATATAAAAATAGATTTTTGAGATAATCCAAAAAATATTTTATACCAAACTTACATGTTATGATAAAATTTAAAGGTGCACCTTAATTGGATTGTTTAAAGTTGCAACCTTATACAAACTACACCCTTTTACCCGAGGGAGTAAATAGACTTTATAGTCCCACAGGAATATAATATCTTTTGGCCTTTTGCTTTCTACGAAAAAGACGACACGTTGAAGAATAATTAATAGTTAAATTGCTCTGAAATTTCCTTGCACCTTCCAATAATAATAAATAATAGCCGCCCCATGAAGGCATCTTGCTGCCTTGCAGCGAAATCTTACTAAATTCTGTTGTGGCTGTTTCGTCATTTACCGATGCACCACGCCAACCGGAGATAGAGATATATGATTAGATCTTGGCCGTACATCTATGTATATAAGTTATTATAAAAAAAATTACAAAAAAACTTCCAAGATCATACTTTTTATTCGACTTACCCTAATTTAATTTTTTCGCTCATTTTTTTTTCCAAAACAAACTTTCTATGCAAATACCCCTAAGAAAAATTTTCTTTTTTTAGATGGTAGCGCGTACACAAAAATCATTTTGGACAGACTTGACATTGACTTTTGGACCCCAGTAGCACATTGTTGAAGCACACCATCACATTCCTAGAGCGCACAAGTGCCGGACTGCTCTTTACAACTGTCGAACCGCCCTTTACTACTGATAGACCGCCATTTTCATTGGCCGAACCACACTTTACACAGTGCCGGAGCGCTACCGCCGGATGGTACTTTACACAGTGTTGGAGCCTTACTGTCAGACCAAACTTTACACAATGGCTAAGCGCTACTGCCGAACCGCCCTTTTCATTTGCCGAACGCACTTTACACAGTGTCGAAACGCTACTGCCAGACGGCACTTTACACAGTACCGGAACGGTACTGCCAGACCATACTTTACACAGTGCCGAAGCCTTACTACCGGACCGAACTTTACATAGTGCTCGAGCGCTACTGCCAGACCGTACTTTACATAGTGCCGGAGCCTTACTACGGGACCGAACTTTACACAGTGCCCGAGCGCTACTGTCGGACCGCACTTATATAGTGTCGGGCCCCCTATGTTGGTGGGATAGATGAGAGAGAGGCATGGGTAAAGTAAAAGTAAGGGAGGGTAGTTTAGGTTTTTTTATTTTTTATTTGGTTGGGGGTTTGGCATAGAAAATATATTTTGAGAAAAAACGTGAGAGAAAAAGTTAAGTTAGAGGTATGTTGCATAGAAAGTGTAGTTTAGGAGTTTTTTTATAAATTTCTCCCTTTTTCTTATTTTGAATGTTGTTATGTAAGACCCGGATTTTATAAAGCTTTACTTGCATCCTTGCCTGAAAAGCATTTTAGGGGTTGGAAATCTGCATGATGGCCGTTAAAATCACTTTCCACTACCGAATATGAATTTTGAGGCTTAAAAATTTATACTGAATATGAATTTTGAGGCTTAAAAAATTATACATATTTTATGGATACATGAACATTTATTTTATGGCGAAATGGAGGGTCTAAATAATATGTTAAATCATACATTAATTTTAAGGCTTGAAATCCTAATGTTTTCACTAACATAATGCTTACGACTGAAATGATTGATCTGAAAAAAAATTTATGCCTAAATTGTAATTTTTGGTGAGTTATAAGTTGAAGCTTCATATATTTTACAACCCTATCAAAATGTTTTTCTTTCATATTAAAAATAGGACACGTTTAGCATACGACCAAGCCCACATATGTAGAAATGCGCGCTTGGCAATAAATATATATTTTAAATGTAATTTGATTCTAATTTTTAAAAAATATATAATATCTAACATGATGATCATGAATATGAATAAATAAATAATTTTTTAAAAAAATAAATAATAATTATATTAAAAAAATATTTAGACTGTTAATTATAATTATTTTTAGATGAACCACATACTTGCGTCAATTTTTAAGAAGGATGCTTTATAACTCTAGAGCGCATATTGTGGAAATGCCGTATTGTGGAAATGTCGTCTAACACGCATAAAACAATTTTTTTTAAAAATAAACTTAGCTCATAATATTATATAAAAAAAAATTTGTGACGTAATATCCATCGTTTTGATTGTTGTGTTTGTCGTATGCTTGTTTCTTCCTTCAGCCCCCGCCAACGTAGCAATTGATAAAATTATTGTTATTATCAAATCACCTTGTGTTTTGAGCTTAGCATACTTGAGAATAAAAAAGTTAATCAATTTCTAATTCTAAATTAACCAAAGGAACGGAATGCGCTGACTTTCGGAATGTACATATAGAAAATCACCCGTACAATGTTGAATTTAAAAAGAGAAGTATTGGGGTAAAATACAGTTCTACGCAGTTGGGCATGTTTATTCCACGAGAAATAACTCTCTAAGAAAGTTAAGAATACCCTTTTCTCGTGCTTATTATGAGGGGAAAAGGGTTAGATACAGCATGAAAAATGTGTATTATAGCCTTTTTTTAACGTGGTATATAATATGAAAAAGTACATAATGAAATTATATACTTTTGGTATAAGGTAGTCACAATTGATATTGGCCATTAGATGTGAAATTGGGTGGTTGTATCTATTCTATTGACCAAGCTTAAAGTTCAAAAGAAATTTTCTCAGACCCTGTGACAAACTCAAGCTATCAAATTTCATATTAAATGGCTATAAGTAATTGTACCTCATTGTACCAAAGGTAACGGATCTCATTGTAAACAATCCCATTTATTTATTGTGAAAAATCTGCTTACACATATTTAAGTACCAAAGTATTTCTCTTTGTGATGAAAATCTCTCTCCAGAAATGAACTCTCCCAGGACACCCAAAGCCACTTTCGGTCCAAACTACGGACTAACGGTGTTGGTAGGATAGTTCATGTAAAACTCTTTTTTTTCTTGATCATGTCACATGGAAAATACCAAGGTTTGAAAAAACAGATCAGTGACCCAAATCATCCATCCTGAAAACTGGGTCAGATCGACGAATTGACCATTTGATCTGAGAATTGGCCTGTCCATCATTCAAAAGATTACTAAAATTTCTTTCAAATCTATTTTTGCAAGTTTTCAAAAAAATAGTGGCATTACATTATAGTTTTTTATTATTTTAATGAAAATACATAATCACTGAGAACATATCTCATGTCTGAGTGTTTGTTATTCATTATAATTATTTTATAGTCAGATGACATTTAAAATGCAACTCATTGCAAAAGAATGGATCTCTCTCACTTGAATTTATAGTGAAAAAATGGAAGTGTATCATAGTTTTGGATCTTTTGATTTAATAGAGAGAAAACAAGAGTATGACCCTCACAAATAAATAAATCTCATGTCTACTAACTAATATGGACAAAAATATAAAGTTTAGAACATAAATTTACAATCATGTTCAAGTAAAATTAGAAAAATAAACAAATAAATTCATATTTTTAATATATAATAATCGATAAAGCAACTTGAAAATAGATTTTGAAATAGTATGAGCTAGTAGATTTTGAAATAATATGAGCTAGTGTTACTTTTTTCTTTTAAGATATCCCATAAGCTTGCCTTTTTT